CTTATTACATCCAGCACCAAATATAGAGCACCAAACACACAGTAAGCCCATGGGAAATGCTTCTTGAGTGCTACACTGCAGGGCCAGGAGAGGAAATGGGCCTCCTCAGGGAACAAGGAGTCCTAAGCACAGGACCTGGCATAGAGGAAGGAATAACTATTTACTGAATACTAAATATATAGCAAATGTTTACATTCTTTATTTCCTTTTATCTTTAGGAGGTATTAGCATCTCCTTATTAAAGAAGAAACTAAGGCTCAGAGAGTTTTAATGTTCTCTAAGTTCATTCAACCTGGGTCTGCTTATCTGTATTCTCCTCGAAGGAGACCCACAATGCACTTTGTTAAATATGAAAGGCAGTAAGTTAGCCAGGCTTGGTGACACAGGACTGTGATCCCAGATACCCAGGAAGCTGAAGCAGGAGGTCACAGACCCAAGCACAGCTGTTTGGGACTAGTCTGGACAACTTAGTGAGAACCTGTCTCAAAAAAAAAAAAAAAAAAGGCAGTAAGTTTTACTGTTAAGAAATCTATTTAATTTGTTAGGATTCTGCATATCCTAAACTTATTTAATTGCACAACCCCTCCTTTCTTGGGGAAGGGGAGCAGTGCCCTTATTAATGAGCTGTGGCTTCTTTCTGCAGAATATAACCACAATACCCAAGAGAATTGAAAACATATGTCCACACAAAAATTTGTACACAAATGTTCACAGCAGCATTAATTACTCATAATAGCTCCAAAGAGAAAACAACCCAAATGTCCATCAACAATATGTTGATCCACAAAACATGGTCTAGCCATCCAAAAGAATATTATTTGGCAACAAAAAAAAGAATAAAGAACTCATACTTGCTACAACTTAGATAGACCTTGAAAACATGCTAAGTGAAAGAAGTCAGAGGTAAAGGTTTATGATTTCACTTATACGAGGTCTCTAGGAAAGGCTAATCCATAGAGAAAGGAAGTAGTTCATAGTTGCCAGGGATTGGGGCGATAGGAGGAAAGGTGAGCAACTGCTAATAGGTGCAGGGTTTCTCTTTGCTATGATAAAACTATTTTGGAATTAGGTAGCAGTGATGAGACTATAGTAAAAACCACTGAAATGCACACATTAAAGTGGTGAATTTTATGGCATAGGAACTATACCTCAACTTAAAAAAAAAAAAGAATCTGATGATAATTTAGTGAATTAGGAACAACAGATCACTGATCTTGGCCCAGATCACGTGTTCTCCCACATTATACTGAATAATTAGGGGGCATCAGAACTGTCTGGGGGTGCTTTCCTCTCTTTTTAACATAGCCCCCTCAATCCTAAGTAGGAAACCCAGATGGGAAGACAAGCTTGGAAACTGAGGAACATCAAACTGTCAGATGAGGTGGTGTCATATGCTCTGTGGGACATTTTTTTTTCCTGTTTAATCTTCTTGAACTAATTTTTTTTTAATTGTAGATGGACACAATATCTTTGCTTTTATTTGTGTATTTTTATGTGGTGCTGGGGATCAAACCCAGGGCCTCACGCGTGCAAAGCAAGAGCTCTACCACTGAGCTACAACCCCAGCCCAGCTTGGTCTATTTTGACATCAATCAAGAAAGGCCAAATTCCTAAACCCCTTTTTCACCAGAAGTCTTCAGTTCCAACAATTGATTATACCATGTACTTGGCACAGAGGTCTCCTTTTGTTTGACATCAGATTCACCTAGGTTTAAAGGACTAATAAAACAGATGAGTCATTGATTTATGGGATTTTAGAACTTGAAGGACTTTAGAGAGAAACAATCTGGTCTGATTCTCTTATTTTGATTATGGGGAAACTGAGGCCAAGAGACATGTAGTGTCCTGCCCTAGGTCACAGAGCCAAGCATGACTGAGGCAGCTGGCTGTCTTGCAATATCTGTCCTCTCCTTTTTTTCCTGGAAATGCCACCTCTCCCTTCAGCTGTGCACATGATTATCTAGAATAAAGACCATATTTTCTAGTGAAAAGTGGCTGCATGACTAAGTTCTGACTAGTAGGATGAACAGGGAAGTGGTGTGAGCAACTTCTGGGAAGTATACTTTGAGGTCAGAGGTTGGGTGGGACATGTGCTTCTTTCTTCCTGTTGCTCAGATTGCAGATTAGAGCAATGGAGTTCAAGCAGCCATCCTGGATCATGAAGGGGAAGCTGCATTTGTAGGATAGGAAAGCAATAATGCAGAATTCTGGGTCTCTGATAATTATGGAATTGTCATTACAGCTCTGGAATGCTTATGTGAAAGAGAAATGAACTTCTATTTTGTTTGGCCACTTTTATTTCAGTCTTCTATCTTTTATAGTTCAATTGAATTTTAAATGACACAGAATGTAAACATTAGAGTTGGGTTAGGAACTCAAATCTCCTAGATCCCAAGCACAGAACTATATTTTATTATGCTTATTACCATTAATAATAAATGTCAGTGTTACTGGTATAGTTCATGATAGAGCACTTGCAAGTGAGAGGTCCTGGATTTGATTTCTAGCAATGCAAACAACAACAACAAATAATAATAATAATAATCAAACTGTGCTAAAGGCTTTGTATAGAATAGTTGCCATCAATTTTTTAATTTTTTTTTTAGTTGTTGATGGACACAATACCTTTATTTTGTTTATTTGGCTTTTTTTTTAATGTGGTGCTGGGGATCGAACCCAATACCTCACACGTGCTAGGCAAGCCCTTTACCACTGAGCCACAACTCCAGCCCGATTGCCATCAAAATTTTTGAGTGTTTGCTATATGCTGCCACTACTTTAAAAATGTCATTAACTTACTTAATTCCCATGTCAGCTCAGTAAAATAGGCCTATTATCATCATCATTTCCATTTTATCCACAAACCACCTCAGGCCCAGAGAGAGTGAATAACTTGCCCAAAGTCATATATGTAGTAAGAGGGAGAGGTGAAATTTGAACACAGGCGATTTGATTCCACAGCCTGCACTTTGAGCACCTATATTATATTCTCTCTGTCTTATGATGTGAGCTTCTCACCATCCTTTGAACCCATTTTACAGAGGAGGAAACGGAAGCAGACAATTGTCTAATCATTTGCTTAAAATCACTCTGCTAGTCAGTACTGCAGCCAGCATTAGAAGACAGACTAGATCCCAGTCTGTGCTCTCTCCCAAGACCACCCTGCTGTCTCAGAGGCCACCTTGGCAGACACATAACCCCCACCTTCTGCCTCCTCCTCCCAAACACAAACACACACACACACACACACACACACACACACACACACACACACACACACCACCCAGCAGGCACCCAGACATTTTTGTGGCCAGGATGGCTACAACCTCCTTTGAAAAGCAGCCAGTACTTTGCCCTCCACCAAGTAACTTTGTTTTATTTATAGTCTCCGGCTCAGAGCTTTTGAACTGGCTGCTCATTCCAGGGAAGATCTTGATAACAACTGTTCCTTGGAGTGGGTTCATAGGAAACAAGGTGAATAAACACCACAGAGCCCCTGCCTGTCTAGCAGAGCTTTGCTCCTGGGGGTGTTTATACGTTGGTGTTGGTGTCTGGGTGCAAAAAAACTTTGAATTCAAAATGGCAGTTTGAATATTTTCACTTTTTTTTTTTTAATTCAAAAAAGTTCACCCTTTGCCTTCAACACCCCAAGGCATAGGTGAAAGACAAAAATTATCTTTATCCAGAAGTTAACTCCAAAAGGAGAAGTCTCTTCTACTTTTTACATTCTTGCTTTCTTTTCTCCCTGCCTGGCTGGGGGCCTAGGACAAATTTCTGTAGTGACCATGGGATGGGAATAGGGCGAGGAGACACTCCATGAACTTATGAGTAACACAGCAGTAGGGATAAATGGCATTTCAGAAATTGGTGGGGGGGGGAATAAGAAAAAAGAAAAGAAAGGTAAAGAAAAGAGAAGCCTAATAAGATAGTGACCCCAGGAGACTATAGTATCTTCTGACTTGTGGCCAAAGGTGTCATCCTTAAGTATGACTGTCTCTCACATGTGCCTGAAATTGTTTGGCCTGAATGTTAATCTTGTCTTCACCAACTGCTAGTTATTTCACCTTTGTTTGTAGAGAGGACAAACTCTCAGGAACATTGTGAGGACTGGCACCTTCCAGGCCTAGTTCCAAGACAGCATTCATTGACCCCTCATTAACGGTAGCTGAAGAGTTGTCAAATGATAGTTATCCTCATTGCTTCCTTTGTGATCCTTCTAGGTCTCGTCAGGATGAAGTGGATCAAAGGGGAAGCAGAGGTAGTAGCAGGTTGCTGATGTGGCTCTCAATCACCTTTATTTGCCTTGAGTGAATCTGTCAGGGGCTGTTAGGGTCACATGAAGTTTCAGTATTGGACCCCTGATAATGACTGATAAAAGAAGCAGAGGTCTTCAAGGGTAGGGCAGAGCTCGGCCACCTTATGGGTCCTGTGATGTCCACAGTTGGTTTTCCTGTGGGTGTGTGGAGTCAGTTTCCTTAAAGGTCTAAGAAAAGAGGAAGAGGCCTTCCTCTAGGATCATTTGGGAGAAGTGGATGGTGTGAGGGAGAAGAGTGTCTGGAAGGAATTTACTGGAAGGTATGGGAGTTTCAAAGGGAAAACTTGTGTTTTCATGAGGCCTGAGTGGGGGACATTATCTCTACGTCAAAGCTACTGGGTGAAAGGAGTCCACAGGGGAGGACTGGATGAAGGTTCTTTTGGGTGGCCTCGGGGGTCCCCACGATAGGATCAGAGTCTCTCGGTTCTGTAGGAGGAGGTTTCTGGAGAAGGGCAGAGCTGCAGAGCCACCGGGCCTGCACCGGAAAGCCAGAGTGTGCGCGGGCACGAGCCCCGGGAGACGCGCGGACGGATGCGAAGTTCCCGGCCCGCGGCCCCGCCTCCCCACCCCCTCCTCGAGCGGACTACACTTCCCAGCAGCCACGGGCGGCGGCGGCGGCGCGGGCGGGAGAGGGCGGCGGTGTGAGAGGCGGAGGGGGTGGCGCGCGCCGGGCACGCGCGCCGGCGACCATGGCGTTCGCTCGGCTGGCGCGAGTACATTAACCCCGGGAGGCGGCGGCGACGGCGAGGGATCGAGCCTCAAGCGGGCGGGCCTCAGCCTGAGGGAAGGGAGGAAGGGGCGGGGAGAGCGCCAGAGGGAGGCCGGTCGGCCGCGGGCGGGCGGGCAGCGCAGCGCCGAGCGGGGCCCGCGGGCCCATGAGGAGGCCCCGGGACCATGGGCTCCAGGATCAAGTGAGTGCGGCCGGGCGGAGCCGAGCCGGGCGCGGGGCGGCGAGGCCGGGCAAGGGCTGCAGGCCTCGGGCCGCGCGGGGACTTGTTGCCGGGACCCGAGGGGCGCTCCGCGTGCCGGCGTCACGCGGGGAGGGGGACGGTTGCCATGGCGATGCTCTGAGGCGCGGGGGCGGGGTGTACGCGGGGTGGAGGGGCGCGGGTGGTCAGGTGTCCCCTCCTCACCTGAGGGCGGGAACGACAGAGATTACAGTTGAGGTGGCCCCTTCCGCGGGTTTACAGAGGGCCCCTGAAAATGGTCAGGCTAGTGTTGGGAGGGCGAGCGGAAAATCTCCGGAAGTCCCCAAATGGGTGTGTTTGGGGCGCCCCCGAGAGTTGGCAGGTCCGGGAGAGGTTGCTGCTTGGCTGCTTGAGGCCTGCGGCCCCCCCAGAAGTCGTGTGAGCCTCTTAAAGGGAGGGGCCCCTAGTGGATTGAAGGTCTGGATGGCGTGGGGTGGGGGAGGCCCTTCTCTCTCCTCCTGTTTCACCCTCTTTATCTCGAAAGTCTCCATACAGCAGGGGCCAAAGGCTATGAAGAAAGATACCTCTGTGTTGTAACTGAGCACCTGATCTTGATAATGTTGGAAAGGCCCTGTAATCCAATCTGACATTCCTTCGCTCATTCATCCACCTTGAGTCCCCAATGGGGGCTTAGTTTTCTGGGGAAATTGTTGATCCTCTAACTTCAGAACCCATTGAAACATTGTTGCCCTTCTTCTAGACATAAAGTTGACTTTGGAAAGTGCAACTTTTATATGGTCCAATTTGGGTGTGTTGCTTTGGACTATCTCCCCTCCCAGCCAAGTTCTCTTCTGGCCTCTCCCTTCCTCAGCTCCAGAATGTGAGATGCTTTATCTCTAATCACTAACAAATGTTCACTTCTACTCTGTGACTAATAGAATTGTTTAAGGGCATTTAATAACAAAGTTGACAGCATATGCTTTTCTGTAAAATAGCTTTCACAGGACACTTTAAACTCTTATAGGAAAGTCTGTGGAATGTGTTTATTTAGTATATTGAGAACTTTAATAGGGATGTTTGGAAGTGAAGGGCCTCAAGGGCAAAATTTTAATAATTATTCAAATGTTGCATATCATGTCCAGGTGATGTCCATGTAGTGTGACCCTTGCCCAGCTTTGCAGTCCCTTGAGTGGTCAGGCTTTTCGTTTACAAAATGTTTAATACATGCCACAGCAGCCCTGATACATTTGCTAAATGAAACAAAAAGTTTTTTTTAAATGATAACATGGAATCATTAGATGAGCATACTGTTAATTTTTGTGGAAATGAGGAAAAAAGTTAGAAGCATGCTCTGAACAAGAGCTTGAGAGGATGGGGAGGTTAAAAAAACGTAGTTTGTGAAGTACTAGGATTAAGACACTCCAAGTTTAGTTCCTGTTTCTAAGTAAGAGTTGTAAACTTCATTCAGTAGCACTTAAAACACTTTTCAAGAGCCACCTTGGAGTCTCAGAGTATGCATGAGGATGCTTACCTTTCTTGTTACAGAAAAGTTCAGAAACTTGCCTGATGTGAGGCAGCAAGTGTCAGAACTAACATTAAAATCCAACAAGTAGAAGTGCTTATGACTGGTTGTTAGGTCTCTCTTGTTCTCAACAGTGGCATGTTGACAAATATATTTTTCAAGTATGTTTTGTGTGTTTTGTGGAACCTGTCACCGTACCATCTGAGCATTTGGGCAAGAGAATTTACTAAGGCATGAAATTGTATTAAGCGTGAAATTAGTATGAAGACTAATAGCCTTATTGATCTTAAAGCTAGACTGCTCTGTGGTAAAAACTTAGGCTTGGGAAGTACGTTAATTTGTGGTGAGACTGAAAGAATATGAAAAGAGAAGTTATTAAAAGTAGTTGTGATTTATAGTGACTGTTGATTATGCAACTTCCACATACAGCAAGGAATAAGGATGGACAAATGGTGAGGAAAACATCTACTTAGGTGCTGCCCTAGTTGGAAAAAATAGAGCTTTGACTACTACATGTCATTTCATCCTGGCAGGGTAGAACAGACTTTAGGTATTTACTTTTGTGTGTGTGTGTGGGAAGCTAAATGTGCAGGCTCCCTTGTACAGGACAATGGGAAGGGGGCAGACAGAACACTCTGAGGCCCCCCAAGCAGTAGAACACAATGGCTGCCTGTGTTTTCTCTTGTTTATCTCTAATGCCCTGTGGCATTACAAGGACAATATGGACCCAGATCTGGGTTCAAATTGCAGCTTTTTCATGCTAATATGAAACTTTGCACAGAGTACCCCTAGCAACTCGTGTTTCCCTGGGAACAAGGGAATCAACTTTGTCTAGGTTGCAGGATCATTGTGAACAATAAATGTAGTATTAACTCGAATGCCAGGCCCATGTTAACAACTTGGTAATTGTTAATTTTCTTATACACCTTATCAAAGGACTAAACATATGGTCTATATTATGCCAGAAATGTTAGAGAAAGGTATGTTTCAGGTAATGGAGAAGAAAATTTCAGTGATCAAGGAATTAGGCTGTCAATGTGCAGAGTAGGACTTAACATTGTTGCCCTTATTAAATAAAAGTTGATTATACACAATGCTTTGTATAATTGTGAAGCTGGTGTCTGTTATATAGTCAGTGCTTAAAGCATGTGAGATGCTAGGCACACATGTTAAGTTTTAGTGCTTGATCAGACTTGATCAGCACAAGCTCTGTGTCAGACACCATGGTAAGCTTAACATGAACCATTTCATCAAATCCCCACCACTGTCTAATGGTACTGTTTATTAACCACATTTTTCAAATAAGAGAATGGGAGTCTATAATGCTTAAAATTAGGTATCATCCCTAGGAAACTTGCCTTGATGCCATTTCCCCATTACCTGAGTACCCATCTGTATCTCTACTCCAGGCGTGGGCTGCATGCCCCTCTCCTGCCTTTCTTTGGCTTCTTGCATTTAACACTGTCACAGTGCCAAATCTAGTTGCTTATGTGTGTCTCATCTAAGCCAGACACAAACTGCTTGAGAGTTCTCTGGTCAAACTCAGTGACTGGAACCTGGTTGTTTAGGAAGAGTTTATGAAATACATTTAAGTGTTTAAGAAATGCATAACCAAATGAATTTTGTGGAAAAAAAAAACACAACAATTGACAGGGACTTAAACTGGAGACTTGGAAAAGGGAGGAGGGAGTCCCCAAAATAGAAGTTATACAATTTGAAAGTGGTGATAAACACATCTCATCGTTTTCAAGTATAGAGAAGCAGCCTTGGATCTTTTTTTTTTTTAAATACCTTTATTTTATTTACTTTTATGTGGTGCTGAGGATCAAACCCAGTATCTCACACATTTGAGGCGAGTGCTCTACTGCTGAACCACAACCCTAGCCCCAGCCTTGGCTCTTAATGCAGATCCTTACCAAGACTCTGAGTTCTCTGATTTGAATGTACATGGAGTTAAAAGAACAATTTGCTATTTGAACCTTTGAGGAAGAAGAATTTTTTTAATATTTCATAATTTTAAACCCTATTGCCCCGGTCAGTGCAGAACATTCCTTACTTTTACTAGAGTGTATTAATAGCTTGTTTATTTTAATGAGGAATATTAAACCAGATATCTAATTGACAAAGGAAAGACAGGGTAATCAGTACAGAGGTAGCACCCTAAACTAAGATTTTGAGGAAACTTAAGTCAGAGCAGACATTTATCTAGGGGGATCAAAGGAACAGTGACAACTGACAGTCTTTGACAAGTATGTTTAAATCTTATTTAGTGTTTGAGTGATCTTGGTGGACTGGAATGTGGCTAATATGAAGCAATGTAACTGATAATGTAGACACACAGCAGGAAACTGTGGCAGTTTAATATTGCTTGTGGTGACATCCTAGAAATTGCTTTTAGGCAGCAAGTACAGGAAGTGGGTTGCAAGTAATCGAAGGAAATTTCTAAGTGAGTTTGAAGAGACCTGACATTTATGGTCTCAAAGAAATGCATACTTTTAAGATTTGAAGGCTTAGGGACAATACAGGGCAGCTGATTTGGCCTTGTGGTGTTTATTCTGCATTATCCTATATACCTACTTGTCTTCTATCCCTGTCAGACTGATCTCTTTGAGGTTAGTGTCCAAGAAATGTATCATTTAATATTCATTCATACCCTTTCTATAGAATAAGAGTGTCAAGCACATATTAAATACTTGATAAATGTTAGCCATTAATACCAAAATTAGTAGAATTGGTGTGCCTAGCATTGTGTTAAGTTCTAGGGTCACAAAAATGCTTTAAAGTTTTCTAAAGTACTAGACACAAATGCAACACAGAAACATTCCCTCCAGACTTCCTCCCTACTAAAAAATCCAAGTATTAGAAGATAATTGCTATGGCGGTACTGTAACCAGGATGAACAGGTGAGGAAGGGAAGGAGAGACAGTGTACCTTGCAGGAGGTGTTCAAGAAAGGAAGGATTTCTAAGCTGAGAGATGAGTAAGGGTGTGAAAGGGTGAGGGTAGGGTCAGAGAGAGTAGAGGTGGTGAAGGTGGTATCAACAGAGGGAGCAGAGCAGTACATATGAGGACATGGCATATTAGGAAAACAAGAATGTTACCTTTTATTAAGTGCTAGGAATTATGTTAGGCAGGGATTTTAATGGTGAGAAGTACTGATGATGGGTTCCTTATAATGATGCTTACAGTGTGGTAGGCCTGACAGATAAACCAAGTACCTTTACATAAAGCTATGTAAATGTGTTATAAATGAAAAAAGATGCTAAGAGAAAATAATGGGAGTGGCTGTCCTATTTTAGAGTGGTGAGGGATTCACTGTGGATTTGGCATTTGAACTGAAACTTAAAGGATGTAGAGTGATTAGTCTTGTCAAGAGATTAGATAAGACTTTAAGGCAGAAGGTAGTACATACTTAAGGGCCTGGAGACAAGAGAACCCTGGACATGTTCAGGAACTGACAGTAAGCCAGTGGGTTTGAGTAG